AACCTTCTGACCAGGTATGGTGGTTCCTGCCTGTAATCCAGCACTTTGGGAAGTCAAGGCAGGAGAATGGCTCGAGGTCAAGAGTTCAAGACCACCCGGCCAACAAAGCACAAACCCATCTGTAAAAACAAATGAATAAATACACCCTTGTGTAACATCACTAACCTCCCTGCTAGTACCTTCCCTTCACTATTTAAAAATGCTGACAATTTCTCCCTAGAAACTCACTCTTCCAGGTAGTAAATCATAAAATGCAGCTACAATAATGAAAATACCTACAAACTGCAGAAGCAGAAAACAGAGGTACGGAGTCCAGAAACAGACCCAGCTGCATTCTAGAATGAAATTTGTGCCATGTTGGCATTTCAAATCAATGGGAAAAAGTGTGTCGTGTAATAAATAAAATACTTTGAAGATAAATAAATCTTAAGCCCAATTTCCCCTCACAAGCCAAAAGGAACTTCCTGATGAATCGAAAGTTTAAACATAAAATCATAAAACTACTAGAAGAAATCCTGGGAAGTCATTTCTAAGCAGAGATGCAAAATCCTAAATTTAAAGGAAAAGATTTTTACATCTGTTAATGTAAAAACACAAAACTTACATTTACTTTAAAATGTCATATCATTCAATAAATAACAGCAAAGGACAAATAAAAAGTCCGAATGACTTGCTGAATTCACTTATTGATTCTAGTATTGTCCTTTCCTTTTTCAATATTTATGCAAATCATCTCACCTTCTATTGCATTACCTAGAGCCTCCAAAACAATGTGGGAGTAATAAATAAGTGGAAATAACAAGTGTATCTGCCTTATTCCTCATTTTAATTCAGTTAACTTTTTTTGTTCTGTAATACTTGGCATGATATTTGCTTTTGGGTTTTGGCAAATCTTATCATATTTAAGTAGCTTTTTTCTCTGAAATGAATATTGAATTATCACATGCCTTTAAATATTTATTAATATAATCTTACAGGTTTTCTCTTTTAATTTGTTACTGTAACTGATTATTATTTATAGTTTTTTAAATGTTGAACAATTCTTGCATTCCAGAGTAAATCTACTTAATCTTGGTATTTATTCTTTTTTTTTTTTTTTTTTTTTTTTGGGACGGAGTCTCACTCTGTCGCCCAGGCTAGAGTGCAGTGGCCGGATCTCAGCTCACTGCAAGCTCCGCCTCCCGGGTTTATGCCATTCTCCTGCCTCAGCCTCCCGAGTAGCTGGGACTACAGGCGCCCGCCACCTCGCCCGGCTAGTTTTTTGTATTTTTTAGTAGAGACGGGGTTTCACCGTGTTAGCCAGGATGGTCTCGATCTCCTGACCTCGTGATCCACCCGTCTCGGCCTTTTGCTTTAATGTTAACACTTTAATATAATGACACTTTCGCTTACAAACATACAATTTGCATATGTAGGGGAAAAAAATCAGTTCCGTAGACACAAGAGAATACTAGAGACAGAAAGCAATCACAAAAAGGTCAGTTCCAGGGAGAAAGTGGAACTGCATTCCATGACTTGTGCCTACATACACTAGAGAAGGAAAAGGAAATATTCTGCAGGATCAAAACTTGATGTGGAAAATAAACTTGGGTCATTTTGTCTCAACTGAGAATCTTCTTATGATCCAGGTGCTACAATGAGTCCTGGATGGCCTAAAATGGGTGAAGTCTGGCCTTGTTCACAAATTATGATCCAAGATGTTAACCACAGTTCTCCCTCTTCTCTTTAATATCCAAGACCCTGAAGTTGACTCAAGGAATGAAAAAAACGGAGCTAAAAGCACAATCAGATTAGCATGTAGGTAATGTCAATGGCCAACTTCTTCATGGTATGGATCATTATTTAAAAGTACATATGGAAGCCGGGTGTGGTAGCTCACACCTGTAATCGCAGCACTTTGGGAGACCGAGGCAGGCGCATCGTGAGGTTAGGAGATTGAGACCATCCTGGTTAACACAGTGAAAACCCGTCTCTACTAAAAATACAAAAAATTAGCCAGGCGAGGTTGTGGGCGTCTGTAGTCCCAGCTACTCGGGAGGCTGAGGAAGAAGAATGGCGTGAACCTGGGAGGTGGGGCTTGCAGCGAGTCAAGATCGTGCCACTGTACTCCAGCCTGGGCCATAGAGCGAGACTCTGTCTCAAAGAAAAAAAAAAGCTACACATGGAAGTAAAATGCTTACTCAGAACTGAACAGAAGTTTCTTCTAACTCACTCACTTCTTGACTTGAAATTACTAAGCGTAGCACTGTAAACAAAGGACATCGTTGAGAAACTGAGGCTACCAAAATGTTGGCATATGTGAGAGTTGTGGCCAAGAAAATGAAGTATCTGAGCCCACCTTATCCCCAGTATGCATTTCAGACCAGGAGCAAGTCACTAATGACAGTGAATTTCCAGGCTCAACTATGGCTGCCTAATGAGGCTGGGCCCCCTGGGGGTGGGGACTGGGGAGGGGACACACACGGGTGCCCAAGCTTCAGTCCACATCTTCCCCGGTTCAGCCAGAAGGAGCCATGGGGCACAGGGAGAGGTCTGCTTCAAGAGCATTTCAGCAGCGAAAGTCAATATTCTCTGGTTCCTGTAATTCCCTCCCAGTAATTCCAAGTCCAAAATTACCACCAGTGCAACATGAAAAACTGTTCATAGTCTTTCAGTAAAGTGTACATACAGCTTTAATAACGATTATAATCTGAACAAAGCCATTCTTATGATACAGGACGGAAAATCCTCCAAGCAACATTTTAAACCATGGACACTAGCGTTGTCATACATTGCATCTATCCAGAGACGACAAATAAACACACATCCTTCCAGCTAGGAACAGACACTCTCATGTCACCAAGTCCCCTAGGATTGGCGATAAAAACAGACTTGTGGTCACTGCTCGGTTTCTCTGGCGTCTGGTTTCATATGGAATCTTATGTAAGTTGGCCTCAGAGGGAAGTGGCTGAGCAGCAAAGCAAGACAGCATGTATGTAATTAGTCGGGCAAAATAACACGTCCATGCTAACTGGAACGTATGTTAGGGAAAACAGAACCATATGGAGCGTGGGGCAGAGATATTCACTCAGCTAAACTGCCTTTGTAAAATCACATGTTTAAAGCATGCAGGACAGAAAACCAGAATAATTCAGAGCTTGAAAACATGAAATAACAGAAACGTGAATATTTGCAATACATACTTCCTAATATTGGAAATAAGAGCATTGGACAGAAAGGCAAGACTGGGTTTTCCAGAGACACACATTTTGGGGCTCAAAATTTCATGTTCTAAGCTTCTCTATCACGTAGGGATCAAGAACAAAAGCAAGGCTGGCGTCCTGGCCAGACCAAGTGGTACCTTGAGCCAGTCCGTGTGTCCTGAGGGCCCCTGGGCCCCATTTCCCATCCATAATCCAAGTTTGCTCAGCTATGGTCTGTCCTGGTACTCGGTGGACAGCCACAGGGCCCCGCTCCTGTGGGCCTTCAGAGGGACAGAAGAGAGCAATCCCCCCACAGTCCAACCCCCCAGAAGGCCTGAAATGGAAACGCTCTAACTAAGGCTCTCCTGCACTCCCCCACCTTTCTTCTAATACTACTCTCTCAACAAGTAGAAAAATAGGCTATAAGGAGGCTTAGGCAGTGATGCAAAACCCAGGCAGACACACACTCGAATAGCTCTCTCTGAATAAAGCGAATCTGCCTCCACACGCTTGTTTGTTATTGTTCTGGCTTTTCCAAGTTTTAAAGGATAAAACCCTAAAACTCAGAAGCTCAAATCAATTCCTAATGTGGGATATGTTTTCCAAATATGGCTACCAAAACCATACAAGAATAACCTGAGAATAAGAAGCTAGGGGCCGGGCGCAGTGGCTCACGCCTGTAATCCCAGCACTTTGGGAGGCCAAGGAGGGTGGGTCATGAGGTCAGGAGTTCAAGACCAGCCTGGCCAAGATGGTGAAACCCCATCTCTACTAAAAAAAATATATATATAAAAAATAAATTAGCCAGGCATGGTGGCACACGCCTGTAGTCCCAGCTACTCAGGGGGCTGAGGCAGAGAATTGCTTGAACCCGGGAGGTAGAGGTTGCAGTGAGCCTAGATCGTGCCACTGCACTCAAGCCTGGGTGACAGAGTGAGACTCAAGCCTGGGTGACAGAGCGAGAGTCAGTCTCAAAAAAAAAAAAAAAAAAGAAATTAAAAAAGGAAGCTAGGGTTAGGGAGATTTCTGAAGCATCGTTTTTCAAATGCGGGCTGTACCCTGTCGTCCTGAGGAGTTACCCTTGCTGGGGGCCTGTGGAGCCCCAGAAGGCAGATCGGGGGGCTCTCACACCACAGCCTCAGAGAACTAACCGGAAGGTTACCAATCTACAACTCCTAAGGTAACGTGCAACCAGTTCTGGTCTGTGGTTTGAAAACCTTAAATGGAAAGGAGCTGTAGATTTTCTTGCCACAGTCACTCATGACTCATACAACACTATATTACTGGCATAACATGAAAACAAATTATCCCTTAAGCACTACACCTAACTCTAAAAAGAAAATCCCTTTCAAAACAGGTATGCTCAAATAAAGTATTCTGAGACTTCCGGAAGGACAGTCCTAGAATGAGCCAGTGCCCTGGAGAGCCCATGTTTGAACAAAATAGCACAGTTCTGGCCGGGCACGATGGCTCACGCCTGTAATCCCAGTACTTTGGGAGGCCGAGGTGGGCAAATCACAAGGTCAGGAAATCAAGACCATCCCGGTCAACATAGTGAAACCCCATCTCTACTAAAAATACGAAAATTAGCCAGGCGTGGTGGCACATGCCTGTAATCCCAGCTACTCGGGAGGCTGAGGCAGGGGAATCACTTGATCCCTGGAGGCAGAGGTTGCAGTGAGCTGAGATCGCACCACTGCAACCCAGCCTGGGCGACAGAGCAAGACTCCGTCTCAAAAAAAAAAAAAGAAAAAAATACCACAGTTCAAACCTTTCTCTGTTGTACTTATGTGGATTCGTTACAATTATGGTGTCACTACTTTCAAAGGAACGATTAAAATTATTGTTAAAAACACCTGTCACAAACAGAAATGCCCTGTAAATCATATTACTGCACACAGGGTTATCAGAAGCTATGCACATCAAGATCTGACAGCCTCTAGAAGACCCAGAACAGAGACCCTACGGCCATGACCATAGCCACTCCCACCAACATGCCCAGTGCCAGGTCACTGTCATTGTCTGGATATCACTCTTGAATGATGACTTGGTTAGCAGGCTGCTGTTCATCAAGTCCTGCACAGGAGTCCTGGCAGGGCGCAGCATAGGCCTGGCCATTAGCAGCATAGACAGTTTGAGTTCCTGGCGGGCACACACCACTGTATGGCTCACGGCCCTATTCCTCAGTGGCCGGAGCAGCATAGGTCATGTGTGGTGGAGGGGAGGAAACCACGGGTGTCTCATGAGTCATGACAGTGGAGCCCACATAGGCTGTGTTTGTCCTGGAATCTTGGAGTATAAATTTCCAGGCCAAGCAATCACCTGTGTTTTCTACACAAAGACTAATCGCTTTCCCATCTCACCTAACAATCTGCAGCATGCAGTCTTTTTCCATATATATAAAATATATATCAATATATATTTTAATAAGATTATATATTATATAATTATTTTTAAATATTACATTAATACAATTAATATAAATACATTAATATTTAAGTATAATTATATAATGCATAAATATTATTTATTATAAATTATACATTTTATATATATATATATATTTTTTTTTTTTTTGAGACAGAGTCTCATTCTGTCACCCAGGCTGGAGTGCAGTGGCATGATCTCGGCTCACTGCAACCCCCACCTCCCAGGTTCAAGCAATTCTTCTGCTTCAGCCTCCCGAGTAACTGGGGTTATAGGTGTGCGCCACCAAGACTGGCTACATTTTGTATTTTTAGGAGAGACAAGGTTTCACCACGTTGGCCAGGCTGGTCTCGAACTCCTGACCTCACGTGATCTGCCTGCCTCGACCTCCCAAAGTGCTGGGATTACAGACGTGAGCCACCACTCCTGGCAGTATGCAGTCTTTTGACTTTCCATCCAGAGGCTGACTATCCCGACATTCCTGCCCGGTGGGGATGCTGAGGCATTCCACTTGCATGGGGACCTTATCCTCAACACTCTGCCGAGTCTGCTCGTCACAACAGGTCAGGTACCATCCGACCACAGGTCAAACCAATTCTTATTCCAGAGCTTCAATATAGCACTGTGTCGCAGCAACCAGCCACTCTTCACACCATCTCTCCACCCACTAGCCAGAGTGGAGAATACAAAGACGCCACTGCGGTTCCTCAGCTCCGACTGTCACACCAGTGTCTATTCTTCTAATGCAATACTGCATTTGGTTTGTGAATATTGATCTGGAATTTTTACATCTATACCCATAAGTAAAATCAGCCTATAGTTTTACTTTTGAAATATCTTTATTGGCTTTTATAAAATGTAATGCTAGCTTTCAGAAAATGAATTGGAAAACAGGAAAATAATGTGTTTCCTAAGATAATTTGGGGTGCTTTTCATCTACTTCTAAAGAATGATCATTAAACTCCTTTGAGCCAAGGAGACCTTGAAAAATTTAATGAAACCTTTGGACTTGAGCCCTAGAAAATAGTATGTGCTCACTTAAACTTAATTTAGCATACAATTTACAGGAGTTCTTCAGATTTTACTCTGCATTACAACCCTGGCCAATTAGAATGAGAATGAAATGACGTGTTTACTTTTCCATTTTCTCACTAAACCATAAGGATCATAAGGAGAGGGACTGAGTATGTCTTAGTCACCATCCAGCACTTAATGTAGTAGGCATTGTTTAGAATCTTGATATGCTGTTTCACATAATCCTTCCAACAACCTTTCAAGACAGGTTTATTGGCAAAGTCACCTGACATAAACTACCTTGTAAACAGCTTTCTTTCCAGTTATCAGAATGTCCCTGAGCTAGTTGAAACCATAGGCATTACACATAAATGGGCTAATGCACCTTGAAAATAATGTAGGAGTTTGAACAGAAACGCACTTACCAGCTTAGAACTATCTGAATATGAATGAACTTTCTTTTTTTATTCCTGTGGTAGGAATTTCAGGCCCCAATGCCTGGACCCAACAGTAAGAATCAGGACCACATCTCCACAGCCTCTAGGAAGAACCCGTGTGCATCTCTTCAGGCCAGCTCGCAGTGCATCCAGGCATACAGAATTCTGCACCTTCCCTATGTCGTGTCTCTGTTGAGATGCCCCTGAAGAAATGCTGTTCTTCTAACTGGATGAACAGAGCCAATGTACTACAATAAAAATGTATATATTTAGTCTTAGTCCACAGTTCCTGGTACATGAGCTTCTAAGACCCATAGAATCTCTGGCACGACTAAGAGTGGGTTTTTTGGACCTAAACACAGAAATGTCATTCGACCCAGCAATCCCATTACTGGGTATATACCCAAAGGAATATAAATAGTTCTGTTATAAAGACACATGCACACATATGTTCATTGCAGCACTATTCACAATAGCAAAGCTATGGAATCAACCTAAATGCCCATCAGTGACAGACCGAGTAAAGAAAATGTGGCACATGTACACCGTGGAATACTATGCAGCCATAGAAAAGAATGAGATCATGTTCTTTGCAGGGACATGGATGGAGCTGGTGGCCATTATCCTTAGCAAACTAACCCAGGAAGAGAACACTAAATACCACATATCCTCACATATAAGTTATAGCTAAATCATGCGAACACATAGATACATAGAGGGGAAAAATACACACTCAGGCCTATTAGGTGGTGAGGTGGGAGGAGGGAGAGGATCAGGAAAAATAACTAACGGATACTAGGCTTAATACCTGGGTGATGAAATAATCTGTACACCGAGCCCCATGACACAAGTTTACCTATGTAACACACTTGCCCTTGTACCCCTGAACTTAAAATAAAAGTTAAGGGTGGGGCACTCAAGCCTGTAAAGCCAGAACTTTGGGAGGACAAGGTGGGTGGGTCACTTGGGGCCAGGATTTCGAGACCAGCCTGGCCAACATGATGAAACCCCGTCTCTACTAAAACTACAAAAATTGGCTGGGTGTGTTGGTACACAGCTGTAGTCCCAGCTACTCAGGAGGCTGAGGCACGAGAATCGCTTGAACCTGGGAGGCAGAAGTTGTAGTGAATCCAGGTTGCGCCCCTGCATTCCAGTCTGGGCGAGAGAGTGAGACTCCATCTCAAACAACAACAACTAAAATAAATAAATAAATAAACAAACAATTTAAAAAAAAAAAAAAAGAGTGTCTTTCTATATGTTAATGAGATGACTGGTGATTAGCGGTTCCTAGATAACCTCAGGATGGGAGGTCTTTGCCAGAAAGCCCAACGCGTGATTACAGGATTGGAACTTTCAGTTTCACACCCTGATCTTCAGGGAGAAGAGAGAGCCAGAGATTGAGTTCAACCACCAATGGCCAAAGATTTAATCCATCATTCCTAAAAACCCCTAAACAAGGGGCTTCAGGGAGCTTTGAGGTTAGTGAACTCATGGAGGTGCTGGGGGAATAGGGTACCCGTTCCCTGTAGCTTGCCCTGTGTGTCTCTTCATTTGGCTATTCTGAGTTGTATCCTTTATAACAAACCAGTAAATGTAAGTAAAGTGTTTCCCTACATTTTTCCAGCAAATTCTCAAACATGAGGAGAAGGGCATGGACACGCCTGATTTATAGCCAGTCAATCAGAACCAAAGTGCAGGTGCAACCCAGGACATGTAATTGGCATTTGAAGTGAGGCCAGTTTTGTGGGACTGAGCCGTTAACTACGGGCCTGCACTAACTCCAGGTAATCATTATCAGACTTGAATGGAATTGTAGATCACCCAGTTGTTGTCCGAAGAACTAGAGAACTGCTTAATGTGAGGGGAAGAGAAACCCACACACATTTGGTATCAAAAGTGTGTGAGTCAACAGATTTTAGGCACCAGTGAGCTGCTGGAACAGTGCCCCCTCCATTTCCCCAGGTCACTAATGAGGTGGAGGAAAACTACAGCTTCTTTCTCCCTTCTGTCTTTTCTCCTGCTAAACTAAAAAAGACTGGAAGCAGCATCTGAATTTGTTTGTGTTTTACTCATATCCCATGCAGCTAGCTTATCTGTGCAAAGGCCCCATGCACTTAGAGAAAAATATCTTGCTTCAACCTCCACCCGTGGAACTAGAAATTTTGCTTTTAATCCAGCTAGTGCAGTAGATTTTACACTACCTATTTTTCAAATAATAACATCGAAATTTAACATTAATTGGTCCAAGTTCACACAACATTGCAGTATCAGGGCCCAACGTGGAAGCCTGCTACAGCGGTTACTGCTTCAGGGGACCACCACTGCATCACCCCATATACAAGGTGTTCAGTCATTCTCCCCACACGAATCTTTTTCTAAATCCACCCACACTGGGGAAGTTTCTCTGGTTCAATTATTTCATTGAGGAGGCAGAGATGACTCACCCCAGGAAGTCACACCGGAGTGGGGAAGAAGCGACAGAAACCCAAAAGTAGGAATCCTTCTCCCAAGCACACAGTGAGAACTAGGTTGGCAAAAGCTGAGTGTCATTAAGCTTTTAGTCTCCCACATGTGTCTTATCAGGCCCCACAACAATTCTTTGGGGAACGTCAAGGAAGAAAAGATTACTTGATAAACAGTTGTGTCTTCCCCTTCCCTAATCTCATTTACCTACCTCCAGAAACATGTTTCATTCTGACTGGGCAAGTCTTGGCCTAGACATTCTGTGATCTCAGACCTCCAGACTTATCAAACTGCTTTGGGATTAAGCTTGGTCTTTCTTGCCAATAATAGATTCCTTTCTCTGTTAAAACAACCCTCTAGCTCAGAAGGGAATTTCAACACCATCCCTGGACTTTCCCTTTGGGCAGGTCTAGGAGCACTCAGCAAGATGATTGGTTCAGTAACTGTGATTGTGACAATGGGTTTTCAGTGTGAATCTTTTCTAAAGGAGTAGAATTCTGAGGCACCTGTTAGGAAGCGTGCTCGGACTTGTGAATCTCCAAGGCAGGCACTCATTTTCTCATTTAGGCCTCTTGTGCAACTGGCCTCATTTTTAAAATTAATATATTAGTTTTTTCCCCACACCAGTAGTTTCTACTCTTCCTAGAAAATGTGACGCTAACACAGAAAAACAATGGCAGACTTAAGTCCATGGAAGATATTACCTAGCTGATTAGTAGTAATAATAGTAGCAAACACTTAGGTAGCACTTACTGCCCATCAGGGGCTGTTTTAAGTTCTTTCTATATATTAACTCCTTTCATCAGCACAGCAACCCTATGAGGCAGGTCTAGTGTTATTCCTACTTTACACATGGGAAAACTGCACCACAGAAAGGTTAAGTAAATTGTCCAGCTATTAAGTGGTGGATTTGAAATCAGAGTCTTTACCCTTAATTACTACACAATTTTGCTTCTAATAGAGTGTATTTCTGAATAAGCTTCTGTAAGGTCAATGGTCTCAGGTTTTAGTGGAAACCACAATTCAGGCCTCAGGAGCCCTACCATTCTCCAGCAGACATGGCATGGCCCAAACATAAACACGAAAGCATGAAAAAGGTTTTTGGTCAACTACTGATTTCTGGACATCTTTGCAGTTGTCTTTTTGTGAGAAAAAAAAAAAAAAACGATGGAGAAAATGAGTATGCATGCTTGCAGCAGGACACTAATTTTGAAAAATTATAGGAAAAAGTGTGATTTTGTTAAAGAAGTGTAGTTGGTTATTTTCAGAAGATTTATAGAAAGTCAAAACAAGGCAGGCATGGTGGCTCACACCTGTAATCCTAGCACTTTGGGAGACTGAAGTAGCAGGATCCCTCGAGGCCAATTGTTCAAGGCCTGCCTGGGCAACATAGTGAGATCCCATTTCTTCCAAAAAAAAAAAAAGCCAGGTATGGTGGCATGTGCCTGTAGTCCCAGTTGCTTGTGAGGCTGATGCAAGAGGATTGTGTGAGTCCAAACTCAGGAGTTCAAAGTCACAGTAAGCTATAATCACACCCCTGCTCTCCAGTCTGGGCAACACAGTGAGATCCTGTTTCTGAAAGAAAAAAAAGAAAAGAGAAGAAAAACCACCTAAATCT